CTTTTTAACAGCCTAGGAAATTATCTTGTCTTCGCGTTCTTGCCTCTGCTGGCGAGCCAGGTAATTTTCATAAAGAGAAAACTCTCCGATCGTAACTTCTGGGCAGCCTGCCGGCTTCGCCCCCCCGCGCCCGCTGGTCCTCCGCCAGCTGGGTGTCCGGCGGAGTCCGCGAAAGTTTTTTTTTTTTATTTTTTTAAGGGAAAAAATGCTAATACCTGACCTGTCTTTCGATGCATAATGACGATCGTTAGCGAAGCGGGCTGGAATTGCCTTTCAGTTCCGTCCACCGCTGTCAGACCAGATTTAAAATCTCCCGAAGTCTGCATCAAAAAAGTTTTCTCATTTAACAGTCCCGCTGTTAATCCCGGGTCGGTACCAAATCCCCAAATAGATCCACTACGTAGCCATTAATTAATAGCGTTTTGAATCAGAAACATTTTTAACCTTGAAAAAGCAAAGAATCCTCTCATGGTTGAAATTGAAACTTAGAATCCTTTGAGTAACGATTTAACTATTCAGCCAAAGAAAGAAAAATGCATGTTTAAACTGCATTAACCTGTCACAGGCATAGGAACAGATTTCCACGCAGAAATATAAATTACAGACTAGGAGCGAGATAAACACATTAAAATGGACTCCCACAATTTTAGTAATAGAAAGACACGTTTCTAATTAGACAACATCTTTTATTTTTCTTTTGGCAAAAATTAAAAATAAGAAAAATGCAGCAAATGGTATAGAATTGCTCATATGGTGTTTTGTGATTGTGGAGGCTTTTCTTTTTAATATAATCAGACACAGGTTATAGATATTCTTATATTTATTCAGTGCTTTCATTTATTTTCCTTCTCTGATATTTAAAAATTGAAAAAACATAGAAAAGCAAACAGGATGATTTCTAAAAATGGTCATAGCAGGGATTTTAACGTACACAAGCTTTACTGATACATTGAATTATGTGCATTTTGTTTGCAATTCTTCCGTGCTTTTTCTTTTGACAATTAAAATACATATACATCAAGAATAATATAGCTTTATGTATTTACTTCCTAGAATAATCAAATGTGAAGTAATTGTCATATTTGCTTCAGGTTTTTTATTTATATTAAAGAAGACAGGGTTGAATGTCACTTTATTTCCCTCCTCAGTCCCATTCACCATTCTCCCTCCTTCCCTAGGTAATCAGTATTATAATGTGTGTATTCTTCCAGCATTTGTTATTATACTTTATTACCTAATTACCTATATATATTTATATGTAAATCTATATCTATGCTTATGCATTTTATATTTTCTTTATAAATGCTACAGCAGTGTACATATTATTTTGCAACTTACTTTTTCCCCCTCAGCATGATTTTGAGAACTATCCATATTGATACCTATAGAATCTATTCATTTCAGTAGTTTTATATTATTGTCAGCTTTATTATTTTTGTGGATAATCCCCTCTGAAACAGATGATTGTAAAGTTGCTTGCCTTAAAATTGTAGACAGTTAACTCTTAATCTACACATAGAAAAATTCTATCAGAGACAGAATTCTTTACTAACTGCTTTGCTTTTTATTATTTAGAAAAATGTAAAGGTATTTTAAAATGCAGAGAGAATATTACAAGCACCCATTTACCTATCTCATAAAATTGGTAAATGTTAACATTTTGCCATATCTGTTTCAGGTCTATTTTTTAAATGGAGCTATTTAATATTTCTGATAAAATTGAAATCTCTCAGTACTCCTCTCCAAAATCATTCTCCACCCTTTACTCCAAAGGTGAACACTATCCTGAATTTGGTATATAACTTTACAATCTAGGTTTTATACTTTTACAACAAATTAACCCATGAAAACACAGAACATTGCTTTGTTTGATTTTTTAAAATGCACATGTGTGGTGTTAGACTGTACCTATTCTGTGACTTTTTTTCCCCTTCATGGTATGTTTCTGTTCTTTCTCTCCATGGTGATAAATACACATCCAATCCATTCATTTTAATTGCTATATTATAAGTCCATGCATATGAATGTGCCCTGTTCATTCATTCCCCTATTGATGAATATTTAAGCTGCTGCCAATATTTTGGTATCATGGGCAATGCTAGTATGAACATATGTGTGCATGTGTCCCATACACATATGTGAGGATTTCTCTGTGGGGAGTCTAGATGGGGAATTGCTAGCCTGCTCACACATTTCCAGTTTTATTACAGACTGCCAAACGTTTTTTGAATTTATACACCCATCAGCAGTGTATGTGAGTTGTTTCCCTCACCTGACCTTCAATACTTTCTAGATTCAAAGTTTTCTTATTTCTGACAATTTGATTTTTCAAAGACTCAGTATTTCATTGTTTTATTTGAATTTCCCTCACTGCTAGTGACTTGAGCATTTTATTGGCTATTAAGGTTTCCGAGTCTGTGATTTGCTTTCTCACAGTCACCCATTTTTCCAATGGGCTGTGAATATTTTCATCTTTTTTTCTCTTGAGTTGTAGGGGTTCATGCATATAAACATTATATTGCCTCAGTCTGTGACTCCTCTTTTAACTGCTTTTGATGTGTTTTGCACTATAGGAAATTTAAAATGTAGTCATAGTCACTGATCTCTTTCTTTATAGTTTGTGTCACTTGTGTGTCTTATTAAAGAACTCTCTTCTGTACCTGATGCCATGAAGAGAGCCTCCTATTTTTTCCCCCCTTAATGCTGTAAAGTTTTGCTTTCTACACTTGTAAAGTTGATCCAGCTGGGACTTTTTTTTTTCCCCAGTGGTGTAAAATAGGAATTACTTTTACTCCTTCTCTCCCCCACATGGAAAACCTATTGTTCTGCCTCAATTTACTGAACAGCCTTTCACTCCCACATTAATGTGTAATGCCAACACGACTGAAAATTAAATTTCGACATATTTGTGGACATGTTTCTACTTTATCCTTCTCCACCAAGCAAATCAATTCTGAACCAATACCACACTGTTTTAATTATTATGGCTTTATAACAAGTCTTCATGTCTGGAAGGTCATTTTCCTCTTTTGTTCATTTAAAAAAATCGTATTGGCTATATTTGGACTTCTACTCTTCCATACTAACTTTAGCATCAGTTTTTCAACTCCCACTGAAAAACTTCTTTGGTATTTTATTGAGTTACACTTATAGGGTTAAATTTTGGGAGATGTGACATCTTTATAGAATTGTCATTCAATACATTAATAGATTTCTTCATGTCCTTCAGTAACATTTTATGATTTGTTAATGAAACTCTTGTGCTTCTTTGTTAGATTTATTCCTAGTTTCCTTGCAGCTTTTGTTGCTATAAGTTGAATTCTTTTTAAAGTTTTTAAATGATTATTTTTGTTATTTGGAAATTTATTGATTTTGGAATAATCTTGCTTTAGCAAACATGCTGAATAATTTATTTGCAGATTTCTTTGTATTTTCATGTAGATAATCATACCATCTGTAAATAACACTCTTGATACTTTTCCCCTTTCTTATCTCAATGGATGGGCTGGGACCTCCAATATAACATCAAATATTAAGGGTGAGACCAAGCATTGTTTTCCTATTTCTAGCTCATTGAGAATGCTTCTAATGTGGTATCATTATTTATGATTATTGTTGTAAAGTTTTGGTAGAAACCCTTTATCAGGTTAAGGAATTCCCTTCTATCCCAGTTGAGTTTAAAGTAGGAATATTTCAAAATCATGAAATGGCCCTAACCAGTATTGGCTCAGTGGATAGAGCGTCGGCCTGCGGACTGAAGGGTCCCAGGTTCGATTCTAATCAAGGGCATGTGCCTTGGTTGCGGGCACATCCCCAGTAGGGGGTGTGCAGGAGGCAGCTGATCGATATTTCTCTCTCATCGATGTTTCTAACTCTCTATTCCTCTCTGTAAAAAAATCAATAAAATATTTTTTTTAAAAAAATCATGAAATGAATAAGGAATTTAATTAAGAGCTTTTTCTAAAACTATTGAGATGATTATAGGTTTTGTCTTTGATGTGTTAATGTAATGGGTCACTTTGATAGATTTTTTTCCCCAATGTGGCTATATCCTTGGATTCTGAGATAAACCTTGTTTGCTGTTTGTATGTTTATTTTTAATACAAGGCTTCAGGCAGTTTGTGAATGCTTCCTATTTTTAGCGTCTATGTTC